CAACACACACACACACGACACACACGAACGACGAACGACTCACCACCCCCCCACCCCCACCACACACACACACAAGCACTACTCACTCACCAAGCCCGAGGCTGCGGCTGGTCCGCCATCCACAACGGTGGTGACGCACGCGCCGACGTCGTTGTCGGAGGGAGAGGAGATGCGCATGCCAAAGCCAAGCTCGCTCTTGTGCAGAACAACACGCCGCTCCTCAATGGGGTGATGGGCATCGTGGCCCGCACCGCCACCGCCAAACACGGCGCCTTCGCCGCCAGCCACTTCCTCTTCCTCGTCCGCCTCTGGCAGCGGTGTTGGATCGCGGCACACGACCAGCTGCACAGCGTCGCCCTGCCGAAGCATGTCTACCACGCCACCGTGCGACTTGCCAGCCGTCATCTCGCCGTTGATGGCCAAGATGCGGTCCCCAATCTCAATCATGCCCGTCACGTCGGCAGCACCACCTGGTACCAGTCCCGCAACCCGCACAATGCCAAGCTCCTCGTCCGTGATGATGGTCAGGCCAAGGCCTGCCGAACCACGTGCGACCTCAACCGTGTGTGTGTCCTGTGCAGCTGTCGCTGCTGCTGCCGCCGCTGCCTTGGTGCGTGCACCTGTCCCTGTCGATGCGCGACCATAGATGGACCCGAGGTTGTCGTACCCGTCAGTCGTCGACTCCTCATCAAGCGCATCCAGCCCGCCAACAGTGAGCATTTGTTTCGTCGTCGCTGCAGCCGCTGTTTGTAGCTGTCCACGCGCAGGGGTCACGTCGTTCGACGGCGCACGTGATGGTGTCTTTGGCGATGATGTCAGGGCAGCGGGGAGAGGGGCGGTGTCGCTTGTGACTCGCAGGTCAAGCTCATCGCACGCACGCAGGCACGCAATGATGTCCTCGTGAATCATGTTTGACACGTCTTCGCCATTGATGGCCAGGATGCGGTCTCCAGAGAACAGCTGTTGGCAGTAGCGGTGGTGCGGTGGGAGAAGGAGAGTGTGACATGGACAGACCGAAGTGGGGGGGGGGGGTGAGACCAGCGAGGAAACTTCAATGCGCAATGGTAGAGGCAAAGTGAACGCTGACAGGAAGCAACTAGCAAAGTCCACGGTTTCATACATACACAGACACACAGACACACACACAGACACAGACACAGACACAACACAGACACACACACGCAGACACAGACACAGACACACACACACACACACACACACACACACAGATACACTCACCATTCCCGAATCGCTGGCCACGCTGCCTTCAACAACGCTGGCAATGCGTGACTGCAATCCCGTGTCGGGATCAGAGGCGACCGTGAAACCAAAGCCCTGCCCGCGCTTGACAAGATGCACGCTGCGCTCGGCGGCTGTGGCTGCATTCTCAACATGAGCGTTGGCGTCCTCAACAACAGACACGGACTACAGATTGTAATGGGCGGGCGCGCGTGCATGCATTGGGGTGAGTGGGGAAAATGGATGATGATGGTGATGATAAACATATAGCTTTGCTTGGGGCACGTCGTATGGGTGCAGCACACACACAGACACACACACACACACACACACTATGACGCTCACCGGCAGGGAGACGACCACAAATGAGACTTTGGACTTGCGCCTGAGAAGATCCAAGACTTCTTCGTGTTGCAGATCCTGCACAGGGTGTTCGTCCATCTGCACAATGGCATCGCCCGTCGCAATGTCAAGCGCCTGGCACTGAGGCAACACCTCTGTGATGTGCACAACACCCAAGTCATCGTCCTTGGCAATGCGAAGGCCAAAGCCCTTGTCAGTGCGCTCGACGTGCACGATGCGCACGTTTGTGCCGCCAATCCGCTGGATGCGTGACTCCATGTCGGCTGCCTGCTGGTAGCTGTCACGGCGCAGCGCACGCTTGTACCCAGCGTAGCCCTGTGAAGCAGAGGAAACCTTGCGTGAGAAGTGTTGTTGTGGTACATGAATAGTAGGCATACGCGCACATACGCAAAAACGCAATACGCACCCACAAACACACAGACACAGAGACAGACACACAGACACACACACAGACACACACACACACACACAAACACGCACACACATCTGCTCACCTGTGGGTTGGTGCGAACGAGGAGAGAGATGTAGTCACCGGTGCTCTTGAGCGCAGCGGATGCCTCCTCCTTCGATGCACTGGCCACATCCTGACCGTTCACCGCCAACACCTGCAACCCCTCCTGCAGCCCGCCTTGCTCATCCGCTGGGCTGCCAGGCTTGACGTGCGAAATGTAGATGCCTGGGCAAGGCTGTTCCCGCACGTGCACGATGTTGAAACCAAATCCGGTTGGGCCGCGCTTAAACGTGACGAGCGTGGGCCTGGCCAGATCCTTGGCACTGGACCGTTTTGTCAGCGACGTGCATCGAATCAGTCCGCCGTCCGTCTGGTTCTGCCCAGCGGACCTGCGCGTGCCATAGTACACACCTGTCGTTGAATGTGTGTGTGAGCGTGTGTGTGTGTGCGAGTGAGCGTGTGTGTGTAGGTGTATGTGTGTGAGCAAGTGTGCACAAGTGCAAGATGACCGGGAAATGCACGGCAACAACATCAAACAAAACACAATCAAGCAAAACACAATCAAGCAAAACAGCTACTGACCGTTGCGTTCGCCCCATTCAAAGAGCTCGTCCCGCTCAATCATCTCCTCGAATTCCTCCTTCGACACGAAGAAGTAGTGCACGCCGTGCTGCAGAGGGATGGGCGGAAACGAAAACAAACCGCGAGGGGGAGGGAGAGGCATTGGATTGGTGTGTACTGGAAGCGGAAGTGGTGTTGGACATGCATGCACGCAAAGCGGACAATGACACACTCGCACCCGCACGCACGCACACACACACACACATACACGCACAAGCACGCGCACACGCACAAGCACACACACACACTCTCACTCACAAACAATTCGCACCACTGGTGTACCTTCTCGCCCTCGCGGGGCTTGCGTGTTGTAAGCGGGACGGTGTGGCTGTACATGCCACGTCGGACATCGGCCTTGATGGCCTTCAAAGCGTCATCATCGTGAACAGATGGCGCCAGGAATTCGCGGATGGAGCGTCGGTGCTTCCAGTTCTGCGCTTCTCTGCACAGCACCAACAACTCAACCGTGTCATCCGCCCCCTGTGACGATGCGTGGGATGGCGGGTTGGTGGTGGGGAGGAGAAAGGAATGAGTGGAGGCGAGGAAGGGGAAGGTAACAGCACGATCACCAAGATCACAATCAAACTTGAGATCGGTTCCGACACACACACACACACACACACACGCACATGCGGCCCTCCCTTTTCATCGCGTACCTCGAGCAGTCGCATTGCGCTGTCGTGGGTGGTGCCGGCGACATTTAGGGAGTTGATGGCCAAGATGCAATCACCCTAGTGACGAGCGAACATGAACCCCGCATGTGCATTTGTCAATACATGCGCTCTGGACAGTCCACACGGCGCGCGCGCACACACACACACACACACACACACACACACAGTGCATGTACACACCCACACACACCCACACACACCCACACACACACACGTATACACGCAACAGAATGCACACACGTATACACGCAACAGAATGCACACACGTCACCTCCAACCCACCTCCTGAATGTTGCCATAGCTTGAACTGAGAACAACTGGGTCGTTCAAGTGCGTGATGGTTGGCAGCTCGTCCTTCTCAATCCCGCCCTGGAACTCAATACCAAACCCTTTCGTCTCTGGCTTCCTCTGCAGGATTACGGTGTTCACGCGCGTGCCCTTGCGATCCTTGTTCTTCATCGCATGCTGTCGGCACAGGTATGAGAATATTAGAAGAGTCGACAGAGGATGTCGTGAGCAGAGACAGCGCACGCTTCTGTCACTAACGTCAACACACAACCAACCAACCAACCAAACACACACACACACACGCACGCACGCACACACACACACACACACACACACCTTGAAAGTGCGGGAGCGCTCAAAGCGGCGGCTGGGGTCGAGATCACTTGGAATGACCTTGGGTGTGCCGTAGTAGTGGCCTTTGTACTTGCCCCACTCAAGCAACTGCCCGTTCATGATCATCTAGACCACAGGCATGGCACGAACATACATCGAGAAGTGAGTAAGGACGCAAGCAGAGTGCAGCACAGAACTTTGCACACACACACACATACACAAACAAGTGCTTACACACATACACGCACACACATACACACACAACACAACACACACACACCTCCTCAAACACTGCTGTGGAGACAAATTGGTAGTCCTCGCCGTCAACTTCATCCTCCTGCTTTGGACGTGACGTGACGGGTACGGTCATGCTGTAGAGCGTGCTCTTGACCTGGTCTTGCAACGCCGCCGCATCCTCGTCCATCGATGGCAGTGCCATCAGCTCGCTCACCTTGGTGGTCACCAGCCAGGTTGGAAACGTACAAAGCGTGAGTTGAGTACCGCGACGTGCACTTTCACACACACACACACACACACACACATGCACACACGCGCGCGCGCACACACACACAAACATACATACACACACCTTTCTGTAGGACTGGTTTGTCTTGCGTTTGAGGATGGAGAGCGTGACCTCATCACCAGCGCTCTTGATCAGACGGATGACTTCGGCATGCGATTGCCCCGCCACATTCACGCCGTTCACCGACACAATCTCGTCGCCCTTGCCAAGGGGCTCGCCGCGAACAACAAGGGGGGTGACGTTGGGGCGAAGCACGATCGCAGGCAGCAGATCATCCTCAATGCCCCCAGCAACGCTGAAGCCAAACGAGCCCTTGTCGTTCCGCCGAACCACAACGGTAACAGGAGCAATGCCACGTGGTGCCAGCGATCTTCCCTTCTGCTTACGGCGCCGTCGCTTCTTCGCCTTGGCGATTGCAGCAGCATCATCGCCACTGCTCCCGTCATCTTGGTACTGCTGCTGCTGCTGCTGCTGCTGCTGCTGTTGCTGAGGTGATGCACTGGCAGGCGATGTGTCGACAGCCTTCTCTGTCGACACGGCAGTGATCTCTGGGATGGCATCCAGGCCCGCTGCCGACTTCTGCTGCTCAGCACCATCACCATCGCCGTGCTGCACTGATGATGCCTCTTCCTCCGCCACGGCTTCGAGCGGGGACACGCGGAAGCTTGCTGCTGTCAACTCAGCGCGCGACGATGCTGGTGGTGCGAGCGGCAGCTGGGTGAAATCGGGGGCCCAGTATGTGGCGTCGACGCAGTGGAAGACAATGTTGGCGACGGACTTGACTGTCTTGGCCAAGCTCACGCCCGTGTCGACAACGTGGGTGAAGAGGTGATCAAACTCGTCCTCCGTGGCCATCGTTGCGTTGTACAGCGCCTCTGCTGTTGACTTGTCGACAGGCGTGTCCTCGTCGTCTGCGGCAGCCGCTTGCTGCAGTGATTTGAGCAGTGTGTCCACGCTCTTCGGGCGAAGGAAAATGACCACGGGGTGGATGTCGCCAAACTGCTGCAGGCGCTGGATCGCCTTGAGCTGCGTGTCGAGGATGACAACTTTCCCTTCCTCTGCGGGCTCACGGATGGCCGTCAGGGATGTGCCATACAGGTTGCCCTTGTACCGCCCAGCCTCAATGAACTTCTGCTCCAGACAGATAGATCAGGCAGCAAGCAAGGAAGAGAGAGCGGGGAGGAGATGGAGGGAAGGAAAGAGTGAGCAAGTGGGGCAAGTAGGACACGGCGTGACGATGTTGATCGCGAACAAGACTTGTCGTGGTGGTGGTGGTGGTGGAAAAACCGTGCGGTTTGATTGAAATGCAACACAACGACACCATAAAATCATGCCTGTGGTTGGCGCAAAATTCAAACTATCATCATCCGGAGGACCACAGCGACACACACAGACACACACACACACACAGACACACACACAGACACACAGACACACAGACACACACACACCCACACAACCACACACCCACACACACACACACAGATTTGAACGACAATACAAAACAAACCTTGTGGGAGAGCATGTCGTCCATCTCCTGGCGCGTGATGAAGAAGTAGTCAACACCGTCCACTTCGCCTTCGCGTGGCGCGCGCGTCGTATGGGGAACAGCGTGCACAAACTCAATGTTGGGCAGGACGTGCCGCACCGCCTCTGTAATGCGAAGCGACTCCGGCCCGATGATGGCCAGTGGGCGTTTGAAATTCCCGGCAACACTGCGCTTCGATACTACCTGATATGAGCGAATGGACACAGCCTCGGCCTTGCGTTCCTCCGGGGTCTGAGGGTGTGCGGGGAAGGGGACGTGTGAGGCGATGCAGTGAAACAAGAAGCGCAGGCAAACAACGGCAGAAGCAAACGTGCATTCCTGCGCCACAACGTAAACACGGACACACACACACACATACGCACACACAACGTACACATCACGCATGCACACATCACGCACGCACACACATCACACATCACACACACATCACATAAATCACACGTCGTACACACCTTGTTGGTGAGGGTGAGGCGTTTTTGAGGCTTGGACATGTTTTCCTCCACACGGGCACAGAGGTCTGCCCACTCGCGCGTCATCATAAAGTCCTTCTCACGGCGGTTGCGCGAGGGAATGTGGCCCATCTTTCCCGTTGCCGGGTTGCGCGCCATCCACCACTCGCGATCAGACACGTTGGTGACCTCAAGCACGTCGCGGCGCTTGAAGGACAGCTGCGAGTGATGCTCTGCCTCATAGTCGTACAGTGCGCGCACGTAAAACGGAAGTGGCGGGAAGCGTGACTGCCGCCTCTGCTTGCTGCGACGCCGACCGGCCTTCATGGCCCCGACACCAGTGCTCGCACTGGCACTGGCATCGTCTGCTTTTTGGCGAAGTGGAACCGCGTCCACCGCTGCCTGCAAGGACGAAGCAGACGAGGATGACGCCTGCTTCTTACGCGCCTGCTGTGTTGTCTGTGCTGACCCAGTCGCGGCTTCTGCTCCTGCAGTCGTAGTAGGAGTAGGAGCACCCGTTAAGGCAGTGGCAGCTGCTTGCTTCTTTGCAGCCGCAGCGTCCTGTTCACCTTGCATCAAGGCCTGCTTGCTCGAGCGCTGGGCCTTGTTCAGGTTGACGGTTGCCCGGTTGTACAGGTCTGCCATGGAACCGCCAGACACAGAGCTGCAGCCGCTGGCAATGACGCGTTCATATGCATCCTTGTCCTCCTGGAAGCACAGTACCACATCACCAATCTGCTGACTCAGCAGTGTGCAGCAGGCGTCCAGGTCCAGCTCGTCAATGGCGTGACCGTTCACCTCCAGCAGCTGCAGGCCAACGCGCACGCCGGCCTTGTCCGCGTCGCTGTCTGCAATGACATCGGACACGAAGATACCCGGGGCGCTGCGTGGGTGATGCTTGCTGGCTGCAAGATCGAAACCAAGCGGCGAGGCCTGCGTGGGACGAGGAAGGACGATACGAATGCGCTCGCTGTTCGTCACCTCGCTGAAGAGGAGGTAGCCCTCCATGTTCTCCATCACCACCAGCGAGACGCTGTCGGCGACTAGGCATGTCTTGGCCAGCAGCCGCTGTGCTTGCTGGTAGCTCTCCGTGCGCAGCGAGGTCCACTCGTCCGTTTTCGCGCCAGAAATCTCAATCAGCTGATCGCCAACCTGCAGCCCTTGCTGCTCAGCCGCGCTGCCCTTCACAACGGTCGACACATACACGCCTGTGCGCTGCGGGCCTTTGCCAGTCTCGCTGAACCCCGTGAGCGTGAACCCAAATGCCTCACTCGCGGTGGTCATTGTCGCATTGTCCGTCGCAACAGCAGCTGCGGCTGTCGCTGTCGTTGTCGTATCTGCGGCCGTCTCCTTGTGGCAGGGCAGCTCAATCAGTCTCAGCTCCATGGGGGAGAAGAACTTGGGCGTCTGGGAGTAGCGACGCATGCGCAGCTGCTCGCGGAAGGGCGCAAACCCATCCGCGTTCTCCACAACATCGAGTGTGATTTGCCCACTCGCTGCCTGGAGCATTGACTCCACCTGCAGGCGCGAGAATCCCGTCACCTCCTGCCCGTTGATGGTGAGCAGCTGGTCGCCAACGGAGAGGTGCCCCGTGCGCTCAGCGGGGCCGCCAACATGGATGACAGATACAAAGATGTCAGCTCCCATCTCAGATCCGCCGACAACAGAGAACCCGGGGCCGTGTGCGTCTGTGCAGTCGATGGTGACCGTGCGCACATCCCGGTGCACCTGTGCCATGTCATCGCGGTACTGCGCAAAGCCCTCGTTGTTCGTGGCGAGGGACAGCGTTGCCTCCATGTCAGAGTCAATGAGCAGGTTCATGACATCCTCCACATTCGCCAGGCGCACGTCGTGCGAGTTGACGGCAAGCAGCTGGTCACCAACTGCAACGCGGCCGTCCTTATGCGCAACGCCACTGTTGCGTGTGTGTATGTATTTGGGGGGGGGGGCGGCGTTACACGTGTGAGTGAGTGAGTGAGTGTTTGTGCGCGCGCGTTTGTGTGTGAGTGAGTGAGTGTGCGTGTGTGTGTGTGTGTGTGTGTGTGTGTGTGTGTGTGTGTGTGTGTGTGTGTGTGTGTGTGTGTGAGTGTTGGCAGAGGAGTATGCGCATGTGTGTGTGTGTGGGGGGGGGGGCAGAGGAGTATGCGCATGTGTTTGTGTGACGTGTGTCGATGTACAAAGCGAGATGATCATGCACGATTGAGTTGAGGTTGAGGAGGGAAGCAAGGAATTTGTCATGCCGTGGCCCAAGTAGTGCGGGCACTGTCACAACTGCATCATTGCATTACCTTGGCGCGACGGTGGCAATGAAGACGCCTGCGCTGTCATCGTTGACGTCCTGTGGGCCGCAGATGCTCAGTCCCCATGGCGTGCTTGGGGAGTCACGACGAAGCGTGATGTGCTTCACCTTCGTTGCGCCTTGCAGTTGCCGCGCGCTCTTGCGCTTGCGGCGCTGCTCCGTGCGACGAATGCTCACCTGCTGCTTGCGGGCAGTCTTACGGTAGGGCTCAAACCCAGCGTGGTTGGCGCACACCACCATCACCAGTTCGGGCCCAGAGTCGTTCAGCAGCTCGTCCACGTCCGGCGCCGTGGCCTTCAGCGTCTGCAGAGTGCGGGCGGAGTGGTGTTGATAGCGGTACAGGAAGGGAAGGTCAGAGGCGGGGGACACAGGCGAGCAACGCACGGTTAGGTTAGCCTTGCCAACAAAGAGAAGGACAGGCAGCGATCAAGTGTCACATGTTCATGCTTACAGACACACACACACACAGACACACACAGACACACACACGCACGCACGCACGCGCACACACACACACACATTCGCATGCGAACACGCAGCGCATTGCATTCTTCCTACTCACGATGGCGCCGTTGATGCTGATGATTTGGTCGCCCACGGCAACCTGTCCCTTAGCACACGGGCCATGCTTGCTCACAGACGCAATGTACACACCAGGTGCACCACTGCCCTCGGCGTCTGGGCCACAGACCGTGAACCCAAACCCGTGCGCGCCACGCTGCAGCGTGACGAGGCGCTCCTCCCCACCGGTGAAGTCACGGTACTTGTCAAAGCCCGCGGAGTTGGTGGTGACAACCAGCTCGAGCACGTTGTTGCTGTTTAACAGCTCCTCCACGCGCTCTCGCGTGCTTGCAAGCACGTTCTCCGAGTTGATTTCCTGTCGGCATTGTGAATGCAACATGGGGTGGTGCTGGTAAGCAATAATGGAGTGATGTGATGGGAAGCAGGAGAAGTGCTGACCGAAGCTGCACGACAATGCAGAGCAACCAATTATGCGGCGTACTGTCATTAAACGCGCACGCGCACACGCACACACACACACACACACACACACACACACACACACACACACACACACACACACACACACACACACAAAACACGCACATTTGTTGGCACGCACCACAAGCTGGTCGCCGACTTGCAGGGATGACTCGCGCGCGAGCGGGGTGATGAGACGGGTGACAAACACGCCGTCCCTTGGGTCGTCTGCATGCGCATCAGGGCCATCCACTACAATGCCGAAGCTCTGGGTGGCGTCGTCACGCATGATGCGAAGCGCACGCAGCTCAAAGTCTGCCACGCTCTCGGCAACATCTGCGTTCTGCGTCTCTGTCTCAAAGTGCTTCATGCCGTCAGGGTTGTGCACAACTGCACAGTGTGTGAAGCATTGAAAAGAAAGGAGTAAACGTATGTGAGAAAGCAGCAGGTTGAGAGAGAGAGAGATAAGCGTGAGCATGTGTGGCAGCGGGAAGAAGCACAACACATTACCGTCTCACTGTGCGCACTGTATGCGCATACCGTGACACGTGCACACCCAAAGACACCCAGACACCACTCACACAAACACACACGCGCACCCACGCACCCAGGAGCTTGGCGGTGAGCCCGCTTGTCTTGAGTGTCTGCGATGCGGTTTGGTGCGTGGCTGCGTTCATGCACAGGCCGTTCACTTCAAGAATCTGATCCCCGGCTTGCAGCTCGCCGTTGTGGGCGGCGACGGAGTCTGGCATGATGCCGCTGATGAAGATGGCGGTGTTGCCTGCAGGCACGCCAGTCATGCTGCGGCCGAGCACGCGCAGGCCCCAGCTGTCGGACACGGAATCCCGCTCCAGCACAACGACACGAGCAGCTGGGAGGCTGTCCTTCGACACGCCAGGTGGAACTGGACATTGTATGTGTGTTTGTTTGAAAAGAGCGGCGATCGTGAGGATGAAGTGAGACAATGAGAGCACAACGCTTGTCTTAAACGACACACGTATGTCAACACACGCCAACGCAACGCACACACACACACACACACACACACACACACACACGCATGCACGCACCGAGTGGAGCGTAGTGCTGCTCATCGGATTCGTGTGCAATGCGTGCAAATGCGTCTGGGTTTGATCGAAGCGTGATCGTGGCCTTATCCACCATGGACACGTTGAGCAGCGTCTGGGCTTCCTTCACCGTTGCCTTCTCAACCTGCCAGCCGTTGATGTCAACTGTAACGCGCCCAGAGTGCAGGGTATTTGTGGAAGCGTGGAATTGGCCATTCATTCGTTGTGAGTGGAAGCATATACTTGAGCGTGAGAGGCATGACTCACACGAGCTGGTAACCATGCGCACACGTCCTCCAAGGATCTTCACAGCCGCTTAACACACACACACACACACACACACACACACACACCCTTTCACACACACACGCAGTTGCTCTGCATCCCTTCATGCCACCACGAAACAAGTCATGTTACACTTCAGCACTCACTGATTTGCATGCCACGGGCAAGTGCGCCCTGTGTTGCTGCTTTGGTGCCGGCGTGAACAGCAGAGATGAACACGCCACCCTTGTTCTGCTTAGACGAGCTGCCAACGAGTTCAATGCCGTATCGGCCGTTGTCGCGTCCAATCTCAACCACAACGAGATCATCGACAGCAATGCGGCCTCGCTGGTACGACACTTCGAAGCCATCCTGCAGTGAGTGTTGTTGTGCATTGTGTGTGGTGGTGATGAGCGAGTTGTGAGGTGGTGAGGGAGGTGGGCACGTGCGATGAAGATGTGTACCTAAACAGCAGCAACAACAAAACAAAGTGAAAACACGGCGTGCATGCATGAATAATGCATCCCAGTCTGAGGTGTGCGGATGAGTGCAGGTCACGAACGTTTGAGAGGGATCGACGAACGAGCCCGTGACGGCCGTGAAATTGCTCCTCGCGTGTCACCTTCTCCTTCTCCACGATCCGCGACACAACAAGGCACACCTGCAAGGTTCAGCAGTATGGCACACGAAAAAGGGGACAGGGGTTGCTGTGAGCTTATACGTGTGCGCGTGCTGTGGGTGCGTTCACGTGCACACGCACGTGATCATCAAACTCAATCAACAAAAGAAGTCGGGTGACGCCCTAAGACAGGCGTCACATCGCAGTGCATGCATGCATGCAACTCATTACATCACATTCGCACCTTTCCCGTGTGCATGGCATCTTGAATGGCGGCGACAGCTCGGTCGTGCGTGACGTTGTCCAGGTGAACACCGTTGATCTCACAGATGCGATCCCCTTCCTGCAGTCGTCCGTCTGACGCAGCAATGCCATGGGCAAAGATCTTCTTGATGTAGATGGCGGTGTCGCCCTGGCCCAGGCTGTCGTCTTGGCCGCCACAGATGGACATTCCAAGCAGCTTCCCTTCCGTGACGTCGAGGATGATGTCCTCCATCACCTCGCTGTACACCGTGCCTGCAGGCAAAGCAACGAATAACACCAACCAAGAGCAAAGCAAAAAGGGATACGGATTGATGTTGTGAGGGACGCGCAAAGGTGCAGATGTGTGCGTTTGATAGCGCCAAACACGCGCATTTTGCATGTAAAGCAAACAGAGACACTGTCTCGTGCTCCGCACACGAACCGTCAATCTTGTGTTCGATGCCTGTTGCCCAAGATTCCTTTCTTGACTGCAGCATTTTGATGGGCCGCCTTGTGCTTGCGCGCTGGAATTCCTTGGAGCCAATCACCAGCTCCTCATTGGGCGCGTACACCTTCTGCGCATGCTCAAAGCCTGGGTTGTTGTTGTTGTTGTTGTTGTTGTTGTTGTTGTTGTTGTTGTTGTTGTTGTTGTTGTTGTTGTGTGGTGAGTGGGTGTGGAAGACAGAGAAACATCAAGGCATGCAAAGCAATCGAGAAGACTCGGCGTTTACATGCCAATACGCACCTGCGGAGTTGTGTACGACGTCAAGGACAAGAATTTGCTTTGCGCGGTTAAACGCCTGAAACGCTTCCATGAGCGTTGCTTGCGTCAGGTTCATCCCATTGGCAGACAGGACCAAGTCTCCGGGCTGAATGGACTTGTCTGCATGCAGTCAAAGTGTGCAAGCGTGGGCGAGCGAGTGTTTGAGGGCGCATATGTGGTCGTGTGCGCGTGAGGGATATGAAGAAAAGAATAGGGATGATTGAGATGGTAAACGACTTTGGAGCTGTTCAAAGTGCTGTGCACAGCCAACACCATACACACCTTTGCCGTGTGTCTTTGAGATGTAGATGCCCGCGTGTCGCTCGCCCTCGCCAGGGCCAATCACAGTGAACCCAAAGCCAGACGCATCGCGGTGCAACACCACCGTCCGCTGCGAAGACGCGTGCATGTGTGCATGTGTGCGTGAGTGTGCGTGAGCGTGCAAGTGCGAATGTGCGCTTGAGTGTGCAAATGATGTGTGCTTTAGCGTGCATGTGATGTATCACAAATGCATGAGTGCGAGCAGACAGGAGACATAATGCGATTCCAGCACATGCAGCAACGTGCTGTTGACTCACGTATGATTCGCCAAGCACGTTGGTGGAAGAAAGGCGCTGGGCACGGTTGACCGTGAGCGACGCATCCTCACTGCAGACGTGGTAGTGTGCCCACGTGCAGGCGAGGAATGAATGAGCACAATGTGAACGCGGAACACACAGATCACGCAGCTACGTGGACACAGAGTCACATACACACACACACACACACGCACACACCAACACCAGGTGGGCGTAAAGCAGCACTGCGAGTTTGGTGGTGAATGGCTTACGAGAGGCGGGATCTGAGGGTTCCTTCTTGTGGCGTTGTTGACGAGCGCTTGATGGTGTTCTGGAACGCTTCCTGCAGTGTGGGACCCTGACACACAAACAGATACAGATGGAAAGGAGCAAGTGATCACGTTGCATGAGCGTTCGCGTGCACACGCCAGCAAGCAAGCAAGAACGAGGAGGAGGAGGAGGAGGAGGAGGAGGAGGAGGAGGAGGAGGAGGAGGAGGAGGAGGGAGATGGCATTCTGATGTGGCACCCCTCAAAACATGACGTGCCAAGCGTTGGAGCTGGAGTAGTGGACATGCAAAGTGATCGCCACCACAACCAAAAACACGAGCAAGAGGAAGCCGGACAGTGCAGCTCACCACGCTCATGGCGATGGCGTCTGCCTTGCGCTGGCGCTTGTGGGCGGGCTTTGGCGTGGATTTGCGGCGGAAGAAGGTGTGGTGCTGGATGGCGGACTTCCACAGCGCCTTACACGTCACTTTGGAGCTGAACGACACCGTGATGGAGGAAGTGCCCTTCTCCTTCTCGTTTCGGAACGTCAGCGTGAATTTTCGGCGCTTGAACTGAATGTTCTTGATGCGGCTCCTGTATCCGGTGCACGCAAACGAGCAAGTGAGAGATTGGTGAGGTGGAAGCATTGAAATGTGTGTGTGTGTGTGTGTGTGTGTGTGTGTGTGTGTGTGTGTGTGTGTGGAAAGGGGGATAGTGACGGCACAATGTTGTGTGCGCATGGGATATTACACACGTGCACGTCATGTCAACTGCAACTGACCATGTGTATGTGATGATGGAGGATTGGCGGTAGAGGTTGATGCCGATGGGGCACACGCCCACAGTCAGCGCTGTGGTGTGAAGAGATAGGCGCACGTCGAGGAGATGTGTGAGTGAGTGAGTGTATGTGTGTGTGTGTGTGTGTGAGAAGAAGAGTGGCAGGGAAATCGTCTTGTGTGTGTGTGTGCGTGTGTGTGTGCACAACAGCAAATGTATGCGCGGGTTTGATGCGATGACATGACAGGCGAACACAGGAGTTGCTTCAGTACGTACGTTGCCCTTCTTCGTCCTTGCATTTGTAGAGGTCCACACCGTACATGTGTTGCTCTTGTGCCAGTGCAATGAACGCTGTCTGTGCCGCATTGGTTGTCATGCCCCTGGAAGGTGCGCAGCGTACAAATGCGATGGAAGCACGACGGCGTGAGCTACACCACATGGTTGTTTCTAATGCAGTGCCTGCAAGCAATCAAGTCGTGAAACAAAACAACGCCGTCAAGCAGGCGGACGCACTTGCACTGGATGTGGTGCTGCTTTGCTGCTTCCAGCATGGGGGACATGACGGGAACGAGGTCGTACTCCACAAAGTAGCGTGGGTCGCTGTGCTTCTCCTCATTCCAATCGCCACATTCAACCTAGCGCGTGTGGGATTGTGAGAGAGAGAGAGCGTGTGATGGTGTGTGATTGTGATGGTGTGTGATTGTGATGTTGAGAGAGAGAGAGAGAGTATGTGTGTGTGTGTGTGTGTGAGTGTGTGTGTGTGTGTGGCAGCGAGCAAGTCAAGAAGTTCGGGGACACTGAACAGCGCCCACTTTGCTTTGCCTCTTGTTCAATACCGAGCAGCAAAGCCAAGCAGCTCTGCCTTCACATCCTCATCCACGATGAGCCTGCACACGTGCGCACGTGTGAGCGTCAGTGCCACGTCGAAACCACAACTACAAGCCAGGGAACGTCGTCTTCGAACTGCACAGCACATTTACCAAAATCACGGACGAGCAAACAGGCAACTACCAAACTATACACACACACACACACACACACACACACACACACACACACACACACACACACACACACACACACACACACACACAACAACACACACACGCTTCTTCCGGGGGCAGACAGTGGAGCTGGAGATAGAGAGTAGATAG